ACAAAACAAAAAAATCGACCGGATCAGGTTTTCCTCCGGAAGGAGAGGATTCTGGGCCTTAGCGGCTCGCCTTCTCCGCGCTCTGGGTGTGTGAGTGACCCGGGCCCTCCGAGCCCCGAGGCTCCCAGTTCCCACCCTTCCCCGCCTCCTGCCGCGTGGGATGGAGGGGGCCACTTCGGGAGGCGCGATCCGGATTAGGCGTCCCCGAGGCCCGGGGTCCCGAGGCTCAGCCCCTCGCAAGCCGTCCCCGGGAACGCGCCCAGGGCAGCCCCTACCCGGCCATCCTCGCACCTGGCCCGCTGCTGCGGCGGCGCCGGCGCCAGGGGCCTCGGGGATGCGGGGGCGCTTCCAGGCGGGGCGGGGTGGGGGACCCGGGCCGCTGCGCCGATCGTCCCGTCCGGGGGTGTGCGGCGCGGAAGGTCGGCCAGCCCCTGAAGTGACCCCTCAAGGTCTGCTGCAGAGAGGGCGAAGGAACCCGCCCCACGCTGGTCACAGCGGGGAGGGGGCGCACCAGCCTGCTGCGCGTGCGCGGACCCGGGTGCGCCCCCACCGCGGCCTGTGCCTGCGAGTGTAGACGCTGCGGGGGGCCTGTTCCGAGCGCGCATCCTCCGGCGTCCGGGTCCCGAGTGTGTGTGTGTTGTACGTGTATTTATGGTGTGTGTGGCTGGGATGTGGAATGATGTGTATAGTGTGGGGTGTATGCGGCGTGTGCAACGTGTGTGGTGTGTGCGCGTGTATGTGCGTGCTTCTGTGTGGCGTGTGTTTTGTGTGTGTTTGGAATGTGTGGGGAGGATGTGGTGTGTGAAGCATGCGTGTGAGATGAGCGTGCAGCGTGTCCGGCGAGCGTGGGCTTCTGTGTCCCCGTCCCGGCTGCGCCCCCAGGTCTCCGCTCCGCGGACTGTGGCGCTCAAAGCCGGCGACGCGGGAACCTGACGCGGCGGGTAACCATGGCAACAGATGCTCCTGCAGCCCCACGCGGCCGTGGGGGAGGGGAGGCTCCGGATGAGGTGCCAGGTGGGGGTCCGGCCGCGCCGCCCTCCTCCGCCCCTGCTGCTTGCCTGGGCGACCCGGGTACTTCACTCGGGTCCTCTGTAGGCCCGGGGCTGGGGACCCTGGTGATTCCTGCTGTCTCACCTCCCAGCCAGTCGATGCACAAAGCACTTCCTGCTGTCAGGTGTGCCGGTGCTGCAGACAGTGGGCTCTTAGGAGCAGGCTCCTGGGTGATGAACCTGCCCCGCTCGAAAGACGGCCTGGACAGCCTCATGGGCACAGTTGTCAGGCTGTGTGACCAGCAGGTGCCCCTGTTGGGCCTCAGGACAAATGAGAAGACTGAGAATGGGCCAAAGGGGGGTCCTGTCTTTGACACAGGCTCCTCTTGCGTGGAGCGGGAAGGATCTGGGCCAGCAGCTCCCTGGCTTCTGGGAAGAACAGACGTGTTTGCATCAGTGAGTTGGGCCTCTGAGGGGAAGGGCTGGCCAGGCCTCACCGGGTTCAACTTGGAGATTCCCGTGCTGGCCTCCTGCCTCTGCCCAGAGCGACTGGCTGCGTGTCACTGCCTCCATTCTTATCCTGTTGATCATGAGAAGATTGGGCTAGAACAGTTGTCTTTCATTCATTCTTTCATTCATTCATTCATAACTTTTATCCACTGCGATGATTCTCCAGTGTGGTGCCGCGGCCAGTGGCATCCGAATCCAGGGAACTAGTCAGAAATGCAAATTCTTGGGCCCACACCAGACTTACACATTCAGAAATGTGTGTGTCTGCACACCCCCATGCCTGCGTGTCATCTGATCTACTGAAGCGATCCTGAGGCACACTTGAATGTGAGAACCACTCATCTGGGAGGCCTGTGTGCTAAGCATGGAACTACGTGATCACCCCTCACGGGATCCCAAAACACACCTGGTTTGGAAAGTTCTAGCTCTCTTCTCTGACCCAGTGGTATTCACTTGGGGCTCCATCTGAAACCTGAGGAAGCGCAAACAGGCCTGGACCACTTCCCCCAGGCTGGTCTAGGGGGGAGTGCGTCTATTTCAGAGGAGGAGAAGGAGGAGCTGGGGGAACAGCAGGTTCTAACTCCTCTCTATCTCAGAAGCTGCTTGAGAAAGACGTCCAGGGCTGTTGCAGAGCCCAAGAGCACCGCCTCCTGGTGACAGCGTGCAGGGCTGGCTCTAAAGGAGGCAGGGGCTCCTGACAAAGGGGGCTTTCACTGTCCCAATCATGGACCCTGCTATGCATGAAGTACCCAGTTGTATGTGGATGTCACGTCCATCACTGCCAGCACCTGGACCAACCAAATTCAAGGAAGGCTTTGGGCCAACAGACAGTTGTGTGTGGATGACGTGTAAGTGTGAATTCTTGTTCCCATGTGGGTCTAGAATGCAGTGCATGGCTTTGTTTTGCTGGGGCTTCCTCAGACTCGGTTTCGGTTGGGCTGACAGTGAAATGAACTTTGTACAACGAATCGCAACGTCAGTTCTCAGCAGTGTCTTGAACTCCTCTGATTGGTGCCCAGAAAAGGTGCAGGGCACCTGGGAAAGAGTGTATAATGCAGAGGCCTGGGGGGAATCCTTGGATGCTGGCCAGGGGGAGGCCGAGCGCTGCCTTCCAGAAGCTTCCTGGGGTGACTGCGTGGCTGGAAGGGAGAGGAGGCGGGCAGGAGTGTGGGCCACCTCCAGCAGTTCACACTGGCCAGACGCCTTCCTCCGCTCTGTCGTGTCCACCAGCTGCCTGCACTATTATTTAGTCAACGTTTTTCTTTAAATCAACTCATTCTTTTTTACTTAATTTTAAAAGGAAAAAGTTTAAAATAACAGATGTAAATGGAAAATCGGTAGCACTCACCCAAAACTGAAGGTGAGTGTAAAAACAAATACGATGCAAATAAAACTGTGCGGTAGCACCCCACCCCAGTGGGGCGCCCCCAGAGCTCTGAGCCGGGACCTCGCTCTCGGCTACAGAAGGGAGGCGTTGAAGACTCAGCAGCGCCCATCAGAAACTTTCCGCTGCAGAAACCAGAAGGCCGGGCAGTGCAGCAGGAAGAGGGGGGTGGGAGTTTCTCACCACGTGGCACCCTGACCTCCACTAACACCTAAACCTGGGCTTCCGAGGGCCGGGCAAACATCGGCTCCCTTCATCACCGGGACCATCCTACGAGGCAGGTGCTGCTCTGGCTCCTGATTCTGCAGGTGAGGAAACTGAGGCAATTTGCCCAAGGCCACAGAGCGTTGAGTGAGCGAGCGCTGGAGTTCGGGACCTGGGTGTGAACGCAGGCGATGCTGCTCAGGGTGGTCCCCCCACCACAGGCCCCCTCCAACAGCTGCAGAAACGGAAACTTAGCCCCCAGCACGCAGCTGCCCCCAGCCCCGTGTTCCCAGCATAGGAAGCCCCTTTAGAGCCGGCCAACCGCTGGGACGATTTTGGGGTGCTCTTGTGGTGCCAGACGTCTAGGGGAGCAGAATACTTAGTGTGGGACAGCTCAGACTATTTGTCTCTCTCTCTCTTCTGTTTGAAAAAGCCAGTCAAGAGTGATTGTCAGCAAGTCCGTGACCCAGCCACCGGGAAGCAGACCGTGCTGAGCAAACGCGGCCGTGGGTGGGGCTCTCAGCAGAGGCCGGGCATCTGTGCAGCCCTGGGGGTCGTGGTGGTTAGGCCGGCACCTGTGCGCGCTCGCTGTTTCTCTGACTCAGATGCTCTTGGATTCCCCACCTGGTCCCCACCAGCCAGCTGGGGCAGACTCCAGAGGACCAAGCCCAGATTTGGGCCTGTCCAGAGTCGGAAGTTGGTGTGGGCGCGCAGGCTGGCCCGGGCATCCAGGTGTGGCTGCAAGCAGTGGGGCTGGGCAGTCCTTCCGGGAAAACTGTTGGATGTGGGGCCAGGGAGCCACGGGGCCTTTCAGGCTGGTGGACTCCAGTTCCGGGAGGGCAGGTTGGCATGGATCCGGGAGCTGGAGAGGGAGCTCAAGGTGCAGGTGGGAGATGCCCGGGGAGGGGAAGGGGTGATCCACAGGTGAGGAATGGACGGATCCTGACAAACTCATCCTTCAAAGACTGTCTTGCAGTGTTGCAGCTGGATTCATTTCCCAGAGCTGAGTTTGAAAAGTTCAGCCCCTCCCACAGTAGGATTTTCATCATCCCTGTGGCTACCATCTCTGGAGCACCTGCCTCGGGCATCATCCTGGGGTCATCGCAGCAAGACGGGCATCTCTTTATTGTCCCATCTTTTCAGGTGACGAAACCGAGGCTGGAGAGGTTGATTGCCCCCGAGGCCACAGCTTGTGGATGGGGACAGACTGGAGCAGGACTCAGTCTGATTCCAAAGCCGATGCTCTTAAAAGGCGTTTTGAACTCACAGTCCTTGAAGTGGAGCAGCATTCACTGTGTCCAGGGGACAGGGTGGTGGGCAGCGTCCCTCCTGCTCCCGGCCGGTCCACTCAGTCCCTGCTCTGGAGCCAGTCAGTGCTCACCAGATCTTGAGAGTTCCCCAGGGGTTTGAGGTCCAGATGCACAAGACCCCCCTTCATACATACACACACACGCGCACATATACACATGCATGCATATGTACACATGCATATACACATACATATACATATACGCACGCATATACATACACACATGTACATATATACACATACATACCTATGCTCATATACACACATACACACATGCAAACACACACACACACAGGCATTCTTCTCTCCCCTCCCCCCACCAGGGGTGGTCTACCATTTGCAGTGTTTTCACCGTTTTTTGCTGAACACTGGGGCTTGGTGACTCTGGATCCCCATCAGTTCACAGAGAGCCTCCTCGTTGCCTCTTTCTTTTGACTGTGAAGCCCCCCCTTTTCACCGGCTCTCCCTGGTGGCCTCCCAGGGCCTGTCGCCCAACCAGAGTGGATAGGTTCCCTGTGTCAGGAACTGATTACACACGGGGCCGGCTGATAAGACTGTCAGAAACCAGCAGGCTTTAGAGAAAAAGGGACGCACCCACGTTGGCTATTGTGACCGGTAACCACCGGGCTTGTCCTTTATTCCCATTGGTGCTTTCTGCCTCCGGTGACGGTGGCCCAGGAGTGGGAGCTGGCCAGCCCCTGTGGGGGCCACTCCCCCCAGTCTGGACTCAAGGCTGGGAGCTCGCCTGCCCTGCGTGTGTCCCCCCCACCCCCCACCCCTATGTGGTGTGGCTGCAGATGGCAGAGCCGCTAGTGGGGTGGGCTCTGCAGAGGGAGGGAGGCGGTGGGGGATGGAAGGAGTCTGGGTGGATAGGTCTGGGAGTGGTGGACCCCTTAATGGGCCTGTGCTTTTGCAGACCTAAACCCGGGCAGGGGCCTATTGCCGGCACCATAACGACCAAGCATGGGCGGGGCTGTGGGACGCTGAGGCAGGCACGTGGCGCACGGTCCATAGAGGAGGCCCATCAGCGTCCAGTAGACTGTCACAGTGAGAGGCGGCCTCAGGGCCTTGTGGGCAGCTTCTGGAGGCTTCCTGGAAGAGGTGGGCCTGGAAGAACAAGGATGGACTGGGTTGGGAAGCGGGGACAGGCAGAGCGAGGGCCGGTCTGGTGCAGGAGCGGAAGCAGAGGTGTGCGGAGCGGGGAGGGTGGGAAACGGCTGGGCAGGGAGCGGGCAGACGCTCGTGTCAGGCTGTGACTGAGAAGGGCCCCCGTGGGATTTCCTGACCCTCAGCTGGACCCAGGCGGCAGAGGGTGGCTGAAGGTGGGGGCATGGGAGTGGGGAAAGATTGGGGGGCTTCAGACCCTTGCCCCCAGGGCTGGTAGAGGAGGCGGAGGGGGGCGCTTTCCTAGGCCTGGCTAGGGGTCATGCCTTTCCTGGGAGGCCTGGCCATGCACGATGCAGGCCCAGAAGGGAGGAGAGCCTGAGAGTGCCTCGGTTTCCCCTGACGCTCTCCCTGCTCCCGTCTGGGAAAGGAGGTCTCAGCAAAGGGCTGCCACGTCCCTTTGACTTGAGGCAAGGACTTCCGGCACTGCCTTTGGAGTGAAGATGCTGGCCCACAAGACAGCAGCCCCAGTTCCAAACTGGATTCCAGGCTCTGATGAGAACCCAGCTGAGCATCACGGCTCAGCGCGGGGCTGGCTGGCAGGGACCAGTGTGAAAGCCGATTCTGCACGGGGGGCATTTACGCCACAGACGTAGGCAAAAGCCACACATTGGGTTTTTTTTTTTTGTCTGGAGAGCGGTTTTGCCAGCACATCACTGTAGCTGTCCCTCTCGGGGGGACATCCCTGCCTTCTGCCAGAAGACGCCCTTCAAGGACTGGATCCCCCCAAGCACACGAGCTAGCGATGCAGTCCAAAGTACCCCGGACAAGGAATTCAAAAACTGGTGTTGGACACAGCTCTGTCACTTTTAGAGCCCTAGGACCAGCCGGCTAACTTCTCAGGCTCCAGGATCCTCGACTGTGTAAGGGGGGTTGGCTGAAAGGATCTTTCTGGTCCTGTCCAGCTCTGCCATTTGGCGGTGCATGCCTCCCACCCCACCACGCACCTCCTCTCTTCTGGCCTCCCTCCCACCTCACCGGCCCCTCCTCCTCAGTGAGCAATGTGGTGACCCGTCTCTTCCCCGTCTGTGCTGTCCCCAACCTCCTCTCATCTCAGCCGGCAGCTCTGTCCTTCCCCAGGCAGCTCAGGCCCTGAACCTCAGACTCAGCCTTCATTTCTCTATTTTCTTCACCCCCTATTCACCCTCAATCCACAAATCTTGAAAGTCAGGCCCCATAAAGGTATCTTGCATCTGTCCATTTTGCACCATCTCCACTCTGCCACCGAGATGTCCTGCCATCCCCCCAAGTGACCTGCTAACTGGTGGTACCTGCTCCTGTTCCCCTGCTCCCGCCTGGTGGTTGGCCCGTTCATTCAATCACCCACATCGGACCAGGCCCATCCCTGCAGAGCCAGCTCCTCGTGGACCCATCCTTGCACACCAGCTTCCAGGCACACTGGCCTGCTTTCTCTTCCAGCAATAGGAGAAGCTGGTCCTTCCTGGGGCCTCTCACCTGCTCTTCCCTGCCTGGCTCTTGCCCGCCAGGGCCCGGTATAGCCGGCTCGCCCTCCTCATTCAGGTCTCACCCCATATCCACCTCCTCGGAGAGGCCATTCCCCGCCCGCCGGCCCAAACGGCAGTCCTGCCCCTCTCCGCAGCCCAGTCTTCTCTCGGCCATTACCATGGCAGAGCTGTCCTGGGCAACGACCTGTTCTCTTGGTATTGTCTGCCCTCCCTGGCCTCTGGGCTGCAGGGCCTGGGCTGTCTGGGTCACTGCGTGTCCCCAGAGCTCAGGCCAGAGCCTGACACCGGGGGGCTCCCACCATGTAGTTTTAGAATGCACGAACGAATGACTTGCTTCTGCTCTGGCCAGAAGGCTGCGACACCACAGGGCGGGAGCAAGGGGGCTGTCACTCAGCAGCCTGAGTCCTCAGAGCTGGCTCCCGTGCATTCCAGAAACTACACCCCTGCAGCTCTCGCCTCAAACCGGACCCCCGACAGCTTCCGAGCTCTCCCTTGTCGCTGGTGGAGCACAGACCTGGCAGGCAGGAGGGGAGGAGGCTGGCGGGGGGTTCCAGTCTGCCTGCTGGGAAAGACCTGCTCCAAGCCTGGAGTAGAGAGGCTGGCAGGGGCCTGCTTGGGGTCCCCAGGACGGAGCCCCCTGGGCGGCGGGGCAGGGGCCCAGGTCGATAGTGGGGGCGTCAGGCTGGAGCAGCAAGGAGCCTGGTCCCACCCTCCCCTCCACCTACTGGGCCTCTGACCTTGAGTGGTGGGGCATTATGCGACCTTGGCCAGAAGAATCGCGGCCACCAGCAATCCCATCACCAAGGGGGGCCGGCTGCTTGGCAGGAAGGCAGAGCCTAAGGAAGGTCAGAGGCTCCCATGAGCAAGGGAGATGGGAGTGTCTACTCACCCCAATTCCTCAACGGTGGGTCAGGTGCCCCCACTGTCCCCGCCTTCATCTCTCAGCATCCCCCATTATTCACCGGCCCCAGCTGCACTGGCTGCCCTGCTCTTGGCCAACATGGCCCAGCCAGCCCCTGCTCAGCAGGGTCTGCCCACCTCCAGCCAGGCCCCCACGGGGGTCCACCACCTTGTCAGCTCCCCGGTGACCTTTGCCCTGAGAGGGGTCAGGGTGGCGGTGCGGGTGTGTGGGGGAGGCCGACAGAGGAAGTCTCCAGGAAGGAGCCCTCACGTGGCCCAGTGGGAGAGCGGGTTCCGTGGGACCAGGAGCCCCGTGGTGGACTTCACCAGAGGGCTCGTCCCCGGGCAGATCCCCATTTAGTCCCCCGTCTTAGACAAGGTGCTCATGTCCACCTGCTCTCCCTCCTGCACTGCCCAGGTGCACAAAGGGTACTGATGGTGTCAGGTGTCATGGGATTGTCAGGGACTCAAGAAGTTCCCAGAAGCCAGGGACGGGGGAGGGAAGGAGGCCCCACGCCACTGGCAGTGGCCTGGCAGCGGGATGGGAAGGCGGTGGGCGGTGCCCCACCTGAGCGCAGCGTGGGCAGCAGGGTGCTGAGGAGCCCGTCGTTGGCCTCGGGCACGATGCCCAGCAGCTGGCACATGAGCTCGTACACGTGGACGCTCTCGAAGGGCTCCACCTCCAGGCCGCTCTTGAAGTCGGGGCCCACGGCCCGGAAGATGGTCTTCATGTCCATGACCTCGTTGTCGAAGCCGTGCTCCCCGTTGTTGAACTGCACGTTCACTCTCTGCGAGGAGGGAGGGAGGGTCCCGAGTCTTCGCCGCAACTCCCAGCACCCCCCGACCTGCACCCCCTGCAGCACCCCTGCCCTGGCAGAGGACCCCCGGGTGGAGTTCAATGTGGGGGCAGGAGGGATTCAAGCCTCAGTTTCTCTGAATTCTGAGCCCCGAAAGATCAGTGGCCCAAAGAGAGAGCCCAGAGACCCCGTGCCATAAATGGAGACCCCAAGTAAATGCGGCGCAGCTGTCAGCCCAAGACCACACTCGGCCTCTCCGCTGCTGCTGGACACCTGCGCACATCAGAGCTTCCCACCCCCCGGACCCCCTCCCTGCGTGGCACCTTGCTTCCCCTTGAGCACCCCCTTGGCTCTCGGCCCACGGGAGATGGGGCTCCTCGCACTCGCCTCTCCTGTGCCACTCTTATGCCTGATCTTCCCACACTCTACACACATGCATGTGCACGCATGAGCACACACATGCACGCACGCATACTCGCACAAGCCTCCGTGTGCATGATGCATACATGTGCACACACAAGCACAAGGGTTGTGCACACTCATACACACACATATACATTCACATACACACATGTTCACGCACACACTCCTATTGCATAGTGATGGGTGTTCCCCACCGGTGGCCAACGCCCCTCCAATTGGGGACTAGCTAGAAATAGGGCGTAGTTTTTACAGAAATGGAAAGAGACCCAGCAGCCCGCCCCTGAGCCGTGCGTTCTGTGGGCAGCTCACCCCGTGGATGACGTAGCCGGGGTCACTGTACATGAGCAGGGGGGTGACCCTGCGGTTATTGGCGTAGCGGAGAGACTTGGGGAAGGACTCCTTCTTGTAGACGTGGAGTCTGGGGTGGGCATCCTTCAGGGCCTCGTACACCTTCTCCAGCACGCCTTCCTTGGGGAGCAGCATCCCGTTTGGTCCGTAGTCTAGGAGCTCGAACTCGACGTCCTTGAAGGTGAAGTTGGGGAACTTGTGGAGCTCCACCAGGTCGTCGGCTGCCCTGCGGACAGCGGTCATGCCGTGGTCGGACGTGACGATCAGATTGAGGCTGTGCTCGAGGCCGCTGTCCCTGATGCTGTCCCGGAGGTAGCCCACGGTCCTGTCCACCTGCATCACCATCTCCTTCCTCTCCTGGGACTCGGGGCCGTACTTGTGGCCCGTGGAGTCCGGCTCCCCAAAGTAGAGTGTGACCAGGTGCAGGCCCTCCTCCGTGAACCACGTCATCACCGTGTCGATGTTGGCCCTCCACTCCTCCTCGTCTTTGTAGTTGTGCAGAACGCCTTCCTTGCGGCTCAGCGTCACGGCCATGCCTTGGTAGGTGACGTTCCCGCCGGGGTAGAAGAAGGAGCCGGTCTTTAAGCCCTGCCAGAAGAGGTGGCATTAAAGCCGTGGGACCCCTCCGACTGCCCCTGCTTGTCCCCTGCCTGCTGACACATTTGCCCCACGGCCTGCCGGCTCCTCTGTCGGCCTACTCGCTCACCCCGACTCCTGACTGTGGCCACGAGCCTTTGTATTTTCTGAAAGGCCTTTCACAGCTCTTACTTTATGTCGCTGGGGCTGATACCGATTTTATAGATGGGAGCAGGTGCCCTGTGGACTCAGCACTAATGAGATAATGGATAGGAAAGTGTCCCCAGATGTGTAGTGCCAGCATTGTCACTGTGGCCCGAGATCCCTGCCCCCAGGCGGAGCTGCCCCAAGAGCCCCCCCCCCCCCCCCCCCCCCCCCCCCCCCCCCTGCAGCCGCCTCTCCCCGCTGTATTCCGTCCAGACCAGTGTCCCTCAGCTCCACCGCCCACGTCCTGCCCGTCCAGCCTTCCACCTGGCCATCTGTCTGTCTTCCCGTAAATGGACTGCTGCTTTATTTACAGATCCATCTGTCCTTCCAACTCTCTGTCCGTGCACGCCGCACCCGTCTGCCTGTCCATTCCCTCAGGCCATTCTTCCATTTAGAATGAGCACTGTCAGATGCCAAGTTCTCAGCTCAGCCTTCTGCACGTTGGCCGGCGTCCGCGGGGGGGCTCCTTCCCGGGAGAGGGGGGTCTCAGACTTGAGTGCACCCCCTGCCCGTAAGGTGGGTGTGGGCTCCCAAGTGCATCCGGGCTCACCTCGAAAATCTCCATTTGACTCTGTCCACTTTCTGGTCAACACTTGCACACCCCCAGGGAAGCCCCCAGAGCACTGCACAGGGTGGGGTTCCTGGGCTCCACCCCCCTCTTACTGCATCTTTGTCCCTTTAAATGTAGCCGCCCAGCTCCCAGAGGCATGCAGGAGGAGGGAAGGATAAAGCCGTGTTATTGGGACATGACTTTTTGTTGAGTCATGTTATTTTCCCTGTGCGATGCCACCTCCCCCCGTCCCCCAGTGCCAAAGGGTCCAAGGGTGCAGTTTCCCTCCGACTGGAAGGATGGAGAGGGCCCTCCTGTTCCCAGGGGTCCAGGGAGGCCCCGGAGGGCTGTGTAGCCCGCTGGTGGACCCTTATCAGCACCCAGCACCCACCTCCCACGGACTCCACTTAATACCCTATCTATGCTGGGAGCGCTGGGGCTCCCAGAGCAGGGAATGGGCCTGCCATTGGTGTCACGTGGCACCCCCCTCCCCGACCATCATCATGTGGCTGTCGCGGCAGCTTTACCTGCCTCTGGGCCGTGATCCAGATGGGCACACTGCCGTTGTCCCACCACCTCTGGATGCCCAGCGTGGTGTGGTAGGGCAGCTTCACTTTGCTGCTGGTGTTGTAGTACATGTTGTGGACCACTCCATGGTTCTCGATGTATTTGCCTGCAGGGGAGGCGGCAGCAGAGGGAGGTGGGAGGGCAGGAAACTGGGGCTCCCTCACACGCTGCCGGTGGGAGCCCAGGTTCAGGGTCACAGGCACACGTTCTCCGAGCCAGCGAGCCACTCCCCCTCTCAGCAGTTTATCCTGCTGCTGACCGTGCGCGCAGGCGCAAAAACGCACATGGGAGGACATTGCAGCCTCATTGGTTTTAGCAAAAGGTTGGGAGCGCCCTAGATGGCTATCAGGAGGAAACTAATTAAACAAATTATGGTGCAGCCATAAAATAGAATCTTAGGAAGGAATTTAAATGAACCAAGTGGTGCTCCATCCAGGAGATATTTTTTAAAACTTATTTTTTCCATGAGAAACAGATGGATATGAGCTCAGAAGGCACCAGAGGAGGGACATTGAAGAGTGCGTCCCCTCCCTCTGCCTCCGCATCTGTGATATGTTAAGGAAACAGGTGGGGCAGAAGGCAGACCTGGACGTGTGTGGGGGGGGCGTGGTCACAGAAATGCTGGTGTAAGTCTGAGCCGTCTGTACCGAATAGCGTCCCCCCAAAGTCGTGTCCACCTGGAGCCTCAGAATGTGACTTTGTTTGGAAATAGGCTCTTTGCAGATGTAGCTAGTTAGGTGAAGATGAGGGCACTCTGGACTAGGGTGGGCCCCAAACCTACTGACAAGTGTCCTTACAAGAAAAGGAGAGACGCACATCGGGGAGACAGCCGCATGACGAGGGAGGCAAACATTGGAGGGATGCGGCCACAAGCAAGGAACGCCTGGGGCCCCCAGAAACTGGGAGAGGCAGAAAGAGTCCCTTGGCACCTCCAGAGGGAGCTTGGTCTTTCTGACACTGGATTTTGGACTTCCAGCCTAAACAGAGCGACGGTGGTTTCGGGGGTGGCTGGGGGGCAGGCAGAGGACAGACCAGGGGCCTCAGGCTCCTCTCTCCTGCCTTTCCGAAGCCCGGCTACACTCACCTCCTCCAGAAGCCCTCCTGGGTTGCTGCCCTGGTTGTGGTCACCATTTAAAATGAGACCACTGGGCGTTTTTATTTGCCTTCTATCAGGTGCCACCAATGGTGAGCATTGCTCATGATCCCCTTGGCTGAACCACATCTCCCCAGTAAGAGTGTCCCCACCTTGTCTCACCTTTGTCCCCACCAGAGCCCCATGGGACAGGGCTCTGTGCATGCACTGAGGTTCCTTCTCTTGGTTTCCCTGGTTTCTCAACCCCCCCCCCCCCCCCCCCCCCCCCCCCCCCCCCCCC